AACCTCACCCACCCCTGAAAAATTTAGGTAGCTTTTTAGAACCAGAGGGATATTACTGGGGTTAAGGCACTAACTTGCCTTGCATACAGCTTACTTACCCTGATTCCATATCCAGCACTGTGTGTGGTCTCCTAAAAACTGCCAGGAGTTATCCCTGAGCACAGACCCAGGTATTAGCTCCCAAACACTGCCAGAGGTAGCCCAAACTCCAACACACACACACACACACACACACACACACACACACACACACACACACACCACACTCAAATAAGAGAAACAACACAAAAAAGGGGAGACTGACTTGGGTCTGGTCAATGAGTTTTTGTTATAGTGCTCAAAATCACTAACTCAAACAATGACAATAAAAACCATGAACACAAATTCTGCTTCTCAAAAGTTCCTTGTAGGTAAGTGATGCATTCATTATTTTCATTGTAATATACCTTCTCATGCATAGTCCATGGTAGATGGTAGATATTCTAATGGAGTCAGAGAGCAGAGAAAAATTCAGTATCTGTCCTGAAGGGCCTCTGATACTCTAGCTACAAAAATATCCAGACCAGGCATCAGAGCGACAGTACGGCAGGCAGGTCCTTGCCTTGTCCGGGGTCAACCTGGGTTTGATCCCCAGCATCTCACATGGTCCCCTGATCCCCACCAGGAGTGATCTCTGAGCACAGATCCAGAAGTTAGTCCTGAACATCACTGGCTGTGTCGTAAAAACAAATAAACAAAAGGGAACACTGAGCTTAAGGGTTGGAACCAATATCTTGCATGTACCAGGCCAAGAGTTTGATCCCTGGAAGCACATAGTCTCATGTGTAGCATCAGGTGTAACTCTGGTGAACTACAGCACTGTCTGGCCCAGGCACTAGGCTCTCTAGCCAGAGTGGCCCCACAGTCCCCTGAGTATCGCCTGGGAGATCCCCCAAACAGACAACCAAACAAATCAACCACTGGCATATGAAGGAATGGAGAACTTTATTGTTCAAAATTTCAGGTTGAGGGCTGCCTAGAAGGAAGCAGAACCAGCAGTTTTTGCACTGTACCTCCCAGTGACCCATCCAAGAGTTCCCATGTATAGTGGAGCCAGAGGCAGTTTGTTCTCAATAAGGAAAAATTTACATTAGTTCATAAAATAACAAAGGGATGTGTTCTGTGGCTGAGTGCCTGCCTTGAAGGTCTGAGGTGGTAGTTCCATGTTAGCACAGCAATTCCAGCTGGACCATCCTGGGGGTCCCCAGTACCCCAACAGCAGTGTTCTCTGGTGCACTGACCAAGTGTGTGCAAATACAACCAGCTGTGCAACCCTGAAGTCATGTGAGTGTTACAACTAAGTGTGTGAGCACTATAGCCGAGTGCTATAACCAAGTATGTGATCATGTGTGCAACCTCAGACACTGCAACAAAGAGAAAGAAAGGGTAACACAATAAAGGAACAAAACTTTGTCTTTGAAGAGCATGTGGTAATTGCTAACATCCTGGCTGAATAAGAAAACGCAGCCTTTGAACTTAGGAGATCTCTATCTCTAGGCAGAACCCATTTTAGGTGTGAGAAAATGCAGATGAAGAGCATATTTTATTAATTTAGGTGGCTGTTTGGCACAGGACTTTCTGGTTGCTGTGGCCTGTGCGTCCCTTCATGCTGTGGTCTGGGGCTGGAATGTCTCTGGGCAGGGCTCTCCCTGGAGCTCTTCGCAGCCAAACGAATGCATTTTATTTCACTTCCATGGCTAAGTTAAATCCTCTGCATATTCTGGTCTAGAAAGATAGTACAGCAGGTAAAGCACTTGCTTGCAAGATTTCATTGGATCCCTAGCACCACATATGGTCCCCTAAGCCCCATCAGGATTGACAGCTGAGCACAGAGCAAGGATTGAGTCCTGAGCAACGCCCCCCAAACCAAAACCAAAACAACCGCCCCACCCCCCCAAAAAATTCAAAAACATTATTCCAACAAAAATACCCCCCAAATTCTTCTGCAAAATTCATTTTCTCTGTGTCTCAAATTGTAAACTTTCTCCCACAATCCAAACTGTGGATCATCTGGATAGAGAAGTGGAATTTTGTCATGGCTATTGCCTCAGTAAATAAAGTTTTCTGTCTTTTGTTTTTGGGCCACACCTGGGAGTACTCAGGCTTACTCCTGGCTTTCTGCTCAGGAATCACTGCTGGATTGATGAGAGACTATCTGGGATGCCTGGAATAGAATTCGGTTGGCTGTGGGAAAGGCAAGCACCCTACCTGCTGTACTAACTCTCCAGCCCCTACAAAGTTTTATGTTACATACCTAGTGGAGTTGTAGAATTGTCAAGCAAGGTCAGAGCCTTGCTCTGTTAGACAGAGTTAGACAAGTTTCAAAGAGATTTGCAGCACTCATAGTTTCAACCAGAAGTGGAGTTCAAGGACACACACAATTTTCCCTTTGGCTGACAAGGATCTATCAAAAAGCAAGTTATGGTGGCTGCAAAAGGTGCAAAAATGACCACCTGCAACACTATGTGGGGCTACCCTTGTTAGTCATAATAGAGATTCTAAATCATCAAGAAGTGGAGAAGAATGGCAGAAGGAAATTAAGAGAAATTGTTCAAGTGAGTGGAGGCCCTGGTTCTCTTGCGACAGTTTTCCTGGGACGACAAACCTTGCCTGGGTGGCAAATTACTGACAGAAAGGTAAGACACCACAGAAATGCAATATGCCACTCTTCTCTAGTTTCACTGTGCCAGAGTGCATTCCGGGGGCACCATCCCTGTTTCTGCACTGGCAGGAGCGAAGGGCAGATGGTTCCACGTGGCCAATCAGGAGTGACTGAAGTTCAAGCAACCATCTAGGGATCTCCGCATCAGACGATGTGGCTGGTTATGAATGAGTGCACCAACCATCACAAAAATAATCAATCCAAGCTTCTTTGGACAAAGCTCACCCTTTAAAGGAAAATCCTGGGAACAATAGAGGGCTTGTTCTGAGAGAATGTGGCATCAGGGGCTGCGTTCCACTCTGAAGGTGGCAGAATAAATTCATGAAATGAGGTGGCAACACTAACATCCTCCGGAAGGTGCTTTACCTACACATGAAAGCTCTTTGCTGGGGGGTGTTCTGGGGTCACCACACCCAGTGGCGCTTAGTCTTGGCTCTGCTCTCAGGGACCACTCCATGTGTGGTGCTAGGAATAGAACCTGGGTCTGGCACATGCATGGCAAGTGCCCTGTCAGCTGGACTACCTCTCCAGTTCCCGATAAATTTAACCACAAAAGCAAAACTTGTAACAAGAGATAGGGAAAGGGGAGAAGGAGAAAAGGAAGGAAAAAAAAACAGGAGGAAAATGAGAAAATGAAGCAGAGCCACAGCTTCAGAACTTAAGGCTGAGACCAGAGAAAGAACATCTTCACCCCAGTATCCTTCCTTACTCTTCTCAAATAGCTGCTGAGAACATTCTGGAAGGAATTACAAACCTAGAGGGCTGTCACAGAATTAGTTATTGGGAAGAGTTGGGTGGAGTTGAGAAAAAACTTTGTGGAGGTGAGAGATAACCGATCTTTCTGGGGTCAGACAAAAGTCACAGATTTTTTTTCCCCCCAGAAGGAGGGTCAGATTTTGACACCACCTGCAGCATCATCTATCTGGATATCTAGGGAGAGAGCCTATTAGCCAAATCTTTTGCATTTGTAGGTGTCATCTCACATTGTTCAAGTCCACCCCTGGTACTAAGGGTATAGGGTAAAACTAACATCAAGTAAAGAGTTATTTATTTAGTTTTTTTTTGGGGGGGGGGCACACCCAGCGATGCTCAGGGGTGTGGCAGATACTCATGGGTCCACCTGGCAGATATTCATGGGTCCATCTGGGATATCAGGGATCCAATCCCTGTCTGTCCCAGACAAGGAAAGAGCCCTACCCTTTGTGCAATCTTTCCGGCCCCTGGGGAGAGTTCTTTAAATACCATACAAAACAAAAAAAACGGCCTATCTAGGATTCTCTGGGAGGAAGTTAATGAAAGTCGGTGGAAAAAAAAAAAAGCTTTGTGAGAACCTAGTATCCGCAGCAGGCAAGCTCCTAAGTTTGGGTTTGGCGCACCAAGGCCGATTCTGTCGATGCCTTAGGATTTGCCCTGCACGCATCCTGTACATTTCCCGGGTTGAGTAGTGTGTGGCCCGTAGATTCCCAGACAAGGTATATTCACTAAGGGGTCAGAGCAGCCAGCGTGGAGCCGATCAGCGATCAGGAGCCGGGCTCCCTCCCAGTCCACCCCAGGGAGCAGAAGCGTTTGACTGAGCGGGCAGGAGGGGGGTGTCGTCTTGCACCCACCGACAGTGTCCTCCTTCGACCTCCCTCGGTCTTCTACTCTGCCCGGGTGGACATTGATAAGCTTCAAAAGAGAGGCTCAAGCCGATTAAGCCGCGTCCTTCAGGTGTCAGCCGCGATGCGCTGGGAAAAACCACAACTCCCGGCATTCTCAGTGCCGGGAGGTCCGCTCACAAATAAGATGGCCCCAGAAGGGTGGACCATGCAGCAGGCTGGAAACCCCGAATCGCTGGCCGTTTTCCTTAGCGGACGTGTTAAAAACCATCGATCCCCCGCCTCCCACCCCGACGCACCACCCCACGAAAGCACCTAGGCGGCAGGACCAGCCAGCAGCGCCGCAGTGCTCGCTCCTGCAAGGCATCCTGGGAGTTGTAGTCCAATCGTCAGGCTGCGACAAACCCCCTTCCCAGGATACCCTGCGGGGCCCGGCGCTGTAGCACCTTTTTTTTATTTTCCAAAACTCTCTTGTCCCTGCCAAACCCTTTTTTCTAGATTTTTTTTTTTTTTTGGTCTTCGTTCCTCCGACGACGCCTTGGCCTCCGTCCCGGGGGCAGAGCTGACGCGCTCAGGAGGGACCCGGCAGCGGGCCTCCCCCCAACCCCGCTACCGACCCTGGCCGGCCGCTCGTCGCCGCACCGCCCCGAGAGCCACTTCCGGCGGCGATTCACTTCCTGGTTGGGTGGCTGGAGCCGGGCGGGCGCGCGCGCGGGGGAGGGGCGGCGGCTCAGTCTGCGCCGGGCGCTCGGGGCATCAGCTGGCGGGCGGCCGGGCGCCCTTCGCCGGCCCAGCTCTTGCCGCCGCCGCCGCTGCAGCGCCGCCTCCTCTCCGCGTCGCAGGCCGGCCGGGCGGCCGTGACAATGTCGCGGGGCTGGGAGTAGCTGGACGCCGGCTGCTGCGCCGCCGTCTCAAGTGGGTGCTGCCGGGATGCTGCCTCGCACCGCGGCCAGGAGCTCGGGGCGGAGGGGGGGGGAGGCAGCGCGGGGCTGCGGGGCAGATCTCTGCCGGAGGGGGCCACAACCTTCGCTTTTCCTCCAAGCCCCGGGCACTGGGGTGTTCCCTTCTTTTTTTTTCCCCCCCGGGGGGTGGGGTGGGGAAAGCGTTTTTTTTTTTTTACCGCCCCCCCTTTCCAACCCGAGGGTTTTTTTTTCTCCCCCGAGGAAATGCATGAAGGTTCCCCCCCACCTCCCAGGATGACGGCTCGCGCTGCTCCCCCTCCGACTCAGCAGTTGCATTTTTGAAGTGTGTTACTGATTCATCCTCTCTCTCTCTCTCTCTCTCTCTCTCCCCCCCCCCCCCTTTTCCCTCTCCCTCTCCCTCTCTCTCCCTCTCTCCCTCTGTCATCACAGGTTTAAACTTACACGAATCGCTTTCTTGAGGAGGAGGGGACCGCCGCGCGATTGACACGCATATTCCCATAGGCATCCTCCTCCCTCGGCCCCCACCCCCACGGCCGGATTCGGGTGGCTCCTCTCCCAGCTGAAATCCGAGAAGAAATCCTTGGATCTCTCGTTTTATTTTTATTTTTGCATTTTATTATTATTATTATTATTTTCTTAAAAAAGAAAAATCCCGAAACCATCGGTATTTTGCTCTCCTGCATCCCGTTCGCAAGATGAAGAAGTTTTTCGACTCCCGGCGAGAGCAGGGCAGCTCTGGCCTGGGCTCGGGCTCCAGCGGGGGAGGGGGCAGCACGTCGGGCCTGGGCAGCGGCTACGTCGGAAGGGTCTTTGGCATCGGGCGACAGCAGGTCACCGTGGACGAGGTGCTGGCGGAAGGTACGGTGGGACTCCCGGGGCGCCGCCAGTCGCCAGCGCGTGCTGATGCAGCAAGTCTCTTGTTTTCCAGGTGTTGAATGTATGAATGGGTTTGGGCCAGTTGACCCTCCCGTCGCCCTTCCTTCCCTTTGGGATCGTTGTCCTTGAGAGATTCAGGACTGAGATGGGAACGTGACAGAATTTCTGGGGAGGGGTGGGCGAGGGGGGGAAGGTTTGCTGGACATTGTTGGTCTCGGTGGCTTTTTATTAAGAAAAATTAAAAGGACAAGGCAATTCTTGTGTCCACCTGCCCGAATGAGGAGGATCAGAACTGTAGAGCGTCATGTAACATGCAGGGTGGTGTGTGTGGGGGGGCTTGTCATCAGCCCCAAACTTGAGCTATGATGTGTTGGCTCAAAGGTGGGGAAGGGGGCTTTAAGAAGAGAGAGGGGTTTGCCTTCCTGCCGCCCAACTTCCCACTTCCATGCTCAGGCTTGGAAGTCAGACAGGATTTTTGTACAAGGAGGGTGTGTTTGTCTGAGATCCTAATCTCTAGGTGGATTTAACTAGATTTGTTTCCTGACCCAGCTGTATGTTCCCCCTGGATCCAGCCAGGAGAGCAGAAATGATAGAAAACGAATGTGACTATTTTGTATTCTGTCTGATTAGGCCCCACTTCCCTCCTGTTTTGGGTTTTTATTTATATTTTAGCCAAAAGAATGACTTGAGAATGGTTATCTGATTTGCTTTTCCTCTGTTGGAGGTTTTTTTTTTTTTTTTAAGCTCTGCTGTGTGAATTCCCTAGTGTGTGTTCTTCTGTTTAGCGGTAGGTATGTGGATGCGTGTCTTTATCAAGCTGCGATTTCTGGAAATCGTTGCCTGTCTGTTTTGGGTAACCTTAGCATCGACCTTCATAATTATGCCAGACTCATACTTTTCACAGCCCATCGCCTGCTTACTGGGCTTTTATTTTTAATAAAAACAGCAATTTCCTTAGCACGAAACTGTTCAAACTAATTGCATGGGGCCATAGTGCCCTAGGTTGTATAGGGCGGTAAAGGGAGGCTTCTATTACCCTGATGTGCTGCTGGTGGTGGAGGGAGTTTATTAGCATGAAGCCTTTTACCAGCTGAGGGTTGGGGAAGTAAGTGCCTGTCAAGGTGTGTATGTTGGAAGAAGAGTCTATGTTTGGTTTTCAGTTGTATAAGCCCTGGATCCCCAGGGAATAGCTTTTTTTTGGGGGGGGGTGTTAGTGTTGAAGTTCTTACTTAAAAAACAACAACAGCACAACAACCAGAAAAGAAAACAACATAACCCTTGTTTTTAAAAAGATCTGCCAATAAATGTTCTTGTGAAATTGTTGCTTTTTTCCTCTCTCGGGGTGGCTCGAGCTGTGTCAGGGGCCTGAGTCACTGTCCCTCTGGATCCTTCCTTGTGGGCTTTGGTGCAGGATGGGAGATGCTTCTGTGTCTGCTGCCAGATCTGCACCCTGAATCTGATCTGTTTTTCGTCCCCGTGCTAAAGGCTTGACTATAGAGGGATGGGGAAATGGAACAGGAATGTGAGAGAGAGAGTGGAAGGAAGGAAGCAGAGCAGAGGTCTTGCACCTCCGCTGAATGGCCTCTGCTGGCCTTAGACCCCGGGACTCTTGTGTCCTGGATATTGACTCACCATAGATGGTGCTGCTGGAAGCCGGAGTGGTGGGGAAGATGAAAGGAGGGCGGCCTAGGCTGCCCTCCTCTTCCCGAGCATTCAGCCCTGAGCACTTGACATCATGCATGGCGATCTTCCTTGGATCTAAGGCTTGCAGCATTGCGTTTATTCACCCATTTGTTCGTTCACTAAGTTGTTTGGGTGGGGCTCCGACAGACCCTTGATAGGCTATGTGAATCCCCGGGGAGCAGATTTTAAACTAGATGCTGGCGTTGAAAAATGACTCCGAGAAATGGAAAACCACCAGCTATAGTAGAGAAACCCTGGAGATAAGCTTAGAGTGCTGTGGCCCTCAATTTTTTGAGAGCCCCAAATTGCGTTTTTCCAGGAAGTGACTAAATAAAGAACGAGTGGGAGTCAGCCAGGTGTGGTGACAGGCTGGATGAAGGCTTGTAGCGAAGAGTCTCACGCGAAACCGCATCGGCAGTGTCGTTCTCTTTGTGTGTTTTGTCACTGAGCTTAAGTCTGCGAATCTCAGAAGTATACAGCTCTGTTGGAGTCAGTATGCGAAGTTAGTGGAACCTACCCACTGCAAAGACACGAGCAGGGTGTGGGAGGGATGCTGGAGGTCTAAAGTGTGATGGCTGCCATTCAGCACTTGATTGGGGAGCTCAGGCAGACACACTCACATGCAGTAACGTGGGTGCCGGCACCATCTGCATTGAATCAAGCAGATCTGGGTTCAGATTCTGGATTTACCCATCTGGCAGGGAAACCTTGGATAAGAATTTTGAACCGGGGCCGGAGAGATAGTACAGTGAGTAGGGCACTTGCCTTGCGAGTGGCTGACTGGAGTTCGATCCCTGGAACCCCATATGGTCCACCCGCAGAACTGCAGAGGCAAGAGGAAGTCCTGAGCTCCTCTGGATGTAGCCCAGAACCTGCCCACCACCACCACCAAAAAAAAGAATTCAAACCATTCTCGAGCCCATTGCCCATGGCAGCGCTTCTTTAGAGTGTGGGGCATGGATCAGGACCATTACCATAGAGACAAAAAATTTTCAGTCCTCACCCCATAAACTGGGAGTGGGGCCTGGGCAGGTTCCTAGAGAGATTCTGATGCAAACTGAAGTTTGGAATTGCCTATGTCCGAGGAGGACTTGGTGTTGGTTTCGGAATCAGGTAACCTTGCTTCTGGTGCTCAGCAGAGGGGAGGAATGGCAGTGCCATTGCTGTGCCATGTCCATCGTGCCCAGTAAAGAGGGACCCTGGCCGATGTGAATTCTGCATGGCTCCAGCAAGCAGCAGCCATCCCTCCAGGGTGGGAAGAGCCCCGTGTTTTTTGCAGAGACCTTCCCAGTTCCCTACAGGCTTGGAAGATGTCTCGGTAGCCTCGGGTCCCTGGGTTCACTTGGTTGTCCATCCCCATCGGTTCTCCAAGGCCAGCAGAGTTGTGCCTTATTTCTCAGGCAGTTTCAGGGCAGGCTCATGGGGGTGTACATTAGACACAGACCCTGGTCTGTGAGATCGTATCACACGCCATTGGTCATTTTTCTCCCCTAAGCGTATTGGTCTGTGCATTGTGGTGAGGGATTACTGACCCACCAGCTCTTGGGTGAAGCCCCCTATATGAGAAGTAAGGGTGCTAAGTCAGTGTTTCTCAAAGGAAGGCAATACTGTCCCCAGAGGATGCTGGAACAACACGGGGGCCTGAGTATAATGGGGGGGGGGGGGGGGGGGTTGTGCTTTCTGTGTGTTTGCTTTAAAGAAAGTAGATTTCCAAGGGAGCTACTGAGTAGTTTTTATTTATTTATTTTTCCTAAAAAGAAGGCAGTGGAACAGATCACTTTGGAAACCTCTGCTCTGTCATGAATCCAGACATAGGGCTATTTCTGGGTTTGGTGCAGAGGAGGACATTTTCTCTCATGCTTCTGGAGTGAAGATGCCATGATGAGAGACTAACTCATATTGGAGGTGATGGCCATGAGACGCCAAGGGAAGATTTGGTTTAAGCTTTCTGAATGAACTCAAGAGAAGACTGAGGTGATACTCAAAGGACTGAGAAATTGTGAATTGGTCCCATCTCCCTAGCACTCTGATGCTTGCCCAATACCTGTTTTGTTCAAGGCAGCTTTCCCAGACTGCATCAGTTTGTATAGAAAGTGATCCAGGAGGCCCTTCCAGACAGCTTTCTCACTGTCATGAAAGGAATTCAGGGCTGATGAGAATGACTATGTCAGTCTCCATCACAGTGGACCTTAGTCATTTCTTCTATCTGCAATGTAAGTTAGTGAGACTTCAAAATGTGTGTGAAAGACCTTAAAATACACACACACACACACACACACACACACACACACAACTGATAGCAGGTATATTTTTAATACACATTATACAATAATAGCAAATATTCATTTAGTGAATGTTTAATAGTGTCTTCTTTGTGGTGGCTACTATGTAGACTCGTGAGATCCTTAGAAAGAGGAGTGGGACTTAACCTAACTCTTAAGGAGCCCAGGAAGCAGCTGATAATCTTAGGTAAGTGTTCAGCACTTAGTATGACCCTTGGTGTATAGTAGGCAGTAAAAATGATGTGTTGAGATGATGGAAAAAGACTAGGGTGAGGATATATAGACTGTTCATGTTTGAATAGGTACTGTATGTTTAAATAGGATGGGAATGACCCAGCATATGTTCCAGATGAGGGTTACCCAAGGCAAGCAGAGAGAACAGCAAATGCAGAGTTGTGACTTGGTGAAAAGTGTGATGCGTTCTGGGAATATTGACTCATCTCATGTTACCATTTTGATTAGTACAAGTTTCCTTCCAGGACTTTCTTCCAGGGTCAGGGAAAGGATTTGGAATGGGAGACTGAAATTCTTTACAAGTTGCTTCCAGTTGTGCCCAGGGCCCAGTGATGTTGGGGTTTAGGGAATCAGTGCTTGCTGCTCGCTTTCTTGAATGGCCTTGGGCCTTTGGAGAGCTATTAAATGGCTGTCCTGTTGACACAGCTTTCCTCTGGGCCCCAACCTGGTGCTCAATGTGGTCAAGGGAGTGGCCAGTGCTTGGGGGAAGGAGTAATCCCGAAGCTTTCCCAGAGAGACTGGAAGGCGAACCCGGCAGGGGGCTGAGCTGACCTCGATCAGAAAGGCATGGGACATCACGAGCATGTTTGGACCAGAGCTGAAGCCATGTTGGGTAGAAAAGGAAAGGAAGCAGATTATGGAGCTTGTTCAGCCAGGCAGAGAGGGGCCCTAGCACCTGAGGACTCCTCCTGACGCAAACCCGATTTGTCCTCCCCCTTCAGATGTCTTTGCCTGCTGGGAAGTCTGGATTTTCAGTGGCAATTGCAGATTTTCAGGGGGTGG